GCTGGGTGTAGGTAGCAAGAACTGGGTGGATCGGCTGATTGATCCATGAGAGGGAGATTCCAAGAAACAGCCCAAGAAGATACCAAGATTTGAACTAGAGGCAACGGAAGCAGAGCAGGTACTAGACCTGCTCTGATACCATATAAGAACTGGCCCAGCACTGTTGCATTTGATATGTGGCCCAGCCCATATTAGTTTGCCACTGACGGGGTTTAGAATAAACCACAGATGCCACGCAAGCAGTCTTATGTGCGCGATATGAGAGCGAAAAGAGAGGGAACAGAGCTTCTTGAAGGTTCCAGTAGAAGTAGAAGCAACAATGGCGTCCGCGTAAGCTGAGCATCGCAGAGGCAGCTATGGACGACGGTGTAGAAGGGAAAAGGAACGAGCACAACGTAAGAGGTAAGAAAAATACCGTCTTTTATTATTCTGTGATTACTTTGAGAGTTCTTACAAAAAGATAGTGATCTTCTTTCTGTATTGAAAACCATAAAGAAAACAAAGGGGAGAGCTCTATCTATAGAGCTCTGTCAAACTAACAACTAAACTACTAACAGTAAAACCTAGTATAACAGAAATGGTTACTGTCTTTATGACAGTAAAGAATTAGTTTCAATCCTAATACTTCCTCTTGCCAGATTTGTAGACCACAAAATACTCGTTAAGGAGGGAACAAAACCTGTTAACATGAGGTCATACCGTTATCCGCATTTGATGAAAACAAAGATAGAGAAGCAAGTAGCGGGAATGTTGGAGATGTGCATCATCAGACCCAACAACAGCCTTTACTCCAGCCCGATGATTCTAGTGAAGAAAAGGGATGGTAGCTCGACATTTTTGTATGGATTACAGGACTCTCAATAAGGTCCCAATACCCGACAAGTTTCCTATTTCGGTAATTAAGGAGTTACTTGATGAACTCCAGGGTGCTACCTACTTTTCGAAGGTGGACTTGAGAGCAAGATACCACCAAATTCGGATGAGGGAGGAAGACATTCAGAAGACGACATTCAGGACTCGTCAAGGTCACTACGAGTTCCTGGTCATTTCATTCGGGTTGTCAAATGCCCCTACAACTTTTCAGTTCATGATGAACACCGTTTTGAGATCCTTTTTAAGGAATGTGTGCTAGTCTTTTTTGACGACATCTTAATCTATAGTAAGACGTACGAAGAGCATGAGAGACACCTCAGACAGGTGTTGGACACGTTGGCACAAAAACAGCTCTTTGCAAACAAGAAAAAGTGAGTTTGGAAGGATTCAAATCATGTATCTGAGTCATATGATCTTAGAAGCAGGGGTTGAAATGGATGGGGAAAAGGTGTCAGCAATGGTGGATTGGCCTAAACCTAAAAGCATTAAGGAGTTGAGAGGGTTCTTGGGTCTCACACGATATTACAGAAAGTTTATAAGGGACTATGGCAAGATGGCAAGGCCACTGACTGATCTGCTTAAGAAGGGGAAGTTTGGGTGGTCACAACATGGTGTAGCTGCTATGAAGGCCTTAAAGGAAGCTGTTACCACAACTCTGGTGCTAGCCTTACCTGATTTTACACAAACACTCCATGTGGAATGTGACGCATCAGGGAGAGGTGTGAGGGCTATCTTGTCCTAGAATAAAAAGCCAATTTGTTTATTTCAGCAAGGCTTTGTCAAAATAATCACTCTCCAAATCCATCTACGAAAATGAATTAATGGTCTTAGTTCTAACAATTCAACATTGACAGCATTATCTACCAGGCCAGAAGTTGGTAGTCTACACAGACCAATGGAGCCTCAAATACTTGCTGGTACAACGAATTACAACTCAGAACCAACCAAACTGCTAGGGTATGAGTTTGATAGGGTATGAGTTTGATATAGTTGAGCATCTAATAAAGTGGCTGATGGCCTATCTATTAAGGGTAAGAAATGGAAGAAGGAGACAAGGAATTGAAGGTGGTTGTCAGACCCTATTGGTAGGAGGTGCTAGAGGAGGTAGAGGAGGATCGGGCTCGAAAAAAAATCATTGACAAAGTAAAGGATGACCGAAAACCAACCTTCTTAAGTCTTCTTCGGAAGGAATAATTTAGACTATAAGGGACTCAGCTATGAGCACGACTTATCACCGAAACAGATAGGTAGACCGAGGTCCCAGTCCTCCATGAAACAATCATTAGCAACTTTTTTTCCAATGACTGATGCTCTTATGCAGTCGAGTTCAGCTTGAGCATTTTTTCGAAATTCTCTTACTAGTTCTGGAAGGATTGGCTTGTCCCATAAAAAGTAGTTCTTTGTTCTTCACCACTTGATTTTTTATAAGGCTATTTCTGGTGCCCGAAGTTCTTCCAGAATTGTTTCATCTTCTAAGAGAAGTGTCTCATTCGCATTTTTGTCAGATAGAATGATGTTGCTTATCCTTTCTGTAGCTTCCAAGTAAGGGAAAAATTGTTTCGCATTTTTGTCAGATAGAATGATGTTGCTTATCCTTTCTGTAGCTTCCAAGTAAGGGAAAAATTGTTTCCAGATATTGTTGCTATGGTCGGAGTGTAAAAAAGGAAAAGGAAAGAGTTATTAGAGAATTGAAAATGATAGACTAAGATTCTTGAAGAGGAGGTAAACTAGAGGTTTGTATGATTCATCCTAAAGAAAACTCAAAATAAGTTATACATATTAATTACTATCAATCAATTTTTTTAGAATTATATTAAAAATACAAAATTGATAATATATTATATGAAAAATACAATAAATTAACATGTCATTAATATTTTCAACGAACATAAATAAAGTCCAATCAAGTATGAAGACCAACTATTTTTCTGTTAGTGTACGTGAAAATACATTATGGTGAAAATATATATCCCACCCTTATAATCAAATTTAGTGACCATTCATACATTTGTCCTAACTTTCTATTCGAAATAAATTAAAAACAAAGATATCGTTACTCAATTTTAAAATATTTCAATTATAATACTGTTACAAACATATGCTACTTTTTTACAACAAAATATGATATTTGCAATATTTAAAAAATTTACATCATGTTTTTATATAAAGAAAAAAGTAAAATTTAATCACCGTTTTATATACTTTTTAATTATAAAACTACTATAATTCCTAGTTTGTGGGCACAAATCGTTGGCAATTATTCCCTAGTGCATTATAAAAGAGCTGACATAGATACGATGCTGGAATACAAAAAATAAAAGAAAAATAAGCTTTATTTAATATATGAAAATGATAAGCAAGGTCTCTTGTTTTACGTCAAGACCGAGGTTCTGTTCTTTCACATACAACATAAAAATCAAAATTTTCGGATGGCGATATTTTCACTATACCAAATGAAATATAAACACTTATTCACTAGTTTTAATTTAAATTTAAATTCAAATACACATTATTACACCACAAATAATTGCTCCAGAAATCAATGATTTTACATCCGACAAGACAGACATAAAACAAAAGCTTCAGATATACACGATCAAGGCTGAAACAAGCCTTTCGTGTGTAAACTTCAGAGAAGTGCTCTCAAAATAGACATACTTACAAAAACATCTAATTAAAAGAACGATATAATCCTTTAGAATACAAAAACATTTATAATAAACACATTGAAGTAAAACAAAAATATTACTTTAATAAAACATTTGTTAAACATAAAGAAACACTCATGAACTGAACCCATCAAACATATATAGAGCATCACTCATACCCAAGACCAATTTAGTTGGAACCACTTTCTATATGATAAAGAAACTAGAAACGGGAATTTTAAATCGGGCAATTTTGAAAAATTAAAAAAGACTGAATTAGCAAATTTAACAACACAAACTCCACTGTACTAGAGCTTTCAATCAAATATACAGCATGCTTTATTATTTTTAAAATCGATAGATCTCATAATATTGTCAATCGAATACAAAGAAATAATTAATAACCAACCGAGAAGTCTTCAGTGCAGAAAAAACAAAACAACCTGGTTTATGTACTAAGAAAACATGTCAACAAAGCATCCAATGGACGTTAATGTCTGAGATCACCATAACTATACATCATTAGAAGTTTTGCAAATTCATCCTTTCATTAAAATATTAATCGAGAATAAAAGGTAGAGGCATTGTGGTAATAAAACAAAAAAACAGTACAGCATCACCATAACTATACATTATTAGAAGTATTCCACATTCATCCTTTTATTAATATAGTTTTCGAGAATAAAAGGTGGAGGCAAAACAGAAAACAAGAGTACCGTTGTTTAAATATTTAGTATTTCATTAGAAACAACTATTAAGTATCCATCGAGTGAAAAACCATAGTCTAAAAACACTAAATGAAGTTTTACAATTAAACCACATTAATTTGAAACAAAGTTCAAAACTTCATCAAGAAATATCAGAAAAACAAGCAACAAAATCTAAGAGGCACCACTTCGAAGAGCTTGGGATTTCTTGCTTGTCGCCAACTTCGTCTCGGGCTACGGACCAACAAAAGAATCAAGAATTAGATAATCAACCTACTAAAAAAAGGAAAACAAAACAGCGAGCAGATGAATTCAATACCTCCTTCCTGACAGGTTCTTCCTTTTCCGACAATATCAACTCAATGTGGCACGGGGATGACATATAAGCTGCCAAAAGTGTCTCCGTAAATAAAACCGTGTAAAACAAATCAACCCAATAAAACAAAATGTTTAATATTTGAACGTACGATTGATTCTTCCATGGGCTCGGTATGTTCGGCGTCTTTGCTTCTGCGCTTGATTGACTTGGATATGGGAAATGTAGAGAGCATCAACATCCAAACCTTTCACCTGAAAAGAAGCAATTTCAGTTAAATGATTTCGGAAATAGTTGGCATAAAATAAAATGCCCATGAAAAAGCAAAATAGGGTATATAAATACTTCAGCATTGCTCTCGGCATTTTTAAGCAAGTCAAGGATGAATTTTGCTGATTTGGCAGGCCACCTTCCTTGGCCGTTTGAGTGTCTACTCTTCGCTTGGGCTGTCCTTCCAACACCACGGCAGAAACGCCTGAATGGAATGGCCTGTTTGTGGGCAAGGACATCTTCCAAATACCGTTTAGCCTTAACCAGGGGCAACTTCCTGATTGCAAAGGCAGTTTCCCTAGTGTTCTGCAAGTAAAATTTAAAAGGCAAGGTTAAGAACAGGTAACAGGTTCACGAACAGCAACGGTTATTAAAAGGAAAAATCTCAAGTCTAGGAAAATAATATGATAAAAAAAAGGTAATCACATAGCAATACAGTTTTTTTATCTGTTAATGAGATCCATAATTTAAATATGGCCACAATATCAGATGGTCATTGTATCATCCTCTACCAAAAGGAACTGTAGCAACTAGACTAAAATTGGGAACTACAAAAGAAAAATCATGTTACATCATTTACTGAACCTTAAGTCACGAACAGATAACAGAGGTTCACCCAACAACAATAGTTTACATATTCCTGAAGGTTACGAGAGGACTGCTTACAAAGGCAACAGAACCCTGCTTTTTTCTTCAGGGTTTTACCTTACTTCTCACTTCATATAACTGAATTTTCTCTATATATTGATTAAAAATAAGTTCACACTAAACCAAAAATAATTTTTACATTGTAAATCTCTATGTTGATGATGTCCACTAGGCACTAAGCTTAAAACTACAGAAAACCATTTTTAACATGGAAACAGTTTATTAAAGGCATCTTCACATCTAGATAAATAAACATGACATCAAAACAAACCATTAAAAACTCATTAAGGAGCAACAATAGCAATCTGTTCCATCGTTTACTGAACCTTTAGTCACAATATGAGAACAGAGGTTCACCCAATAACAATGTTATTATATTCCTGAAGGTTACGAGAGGCCTGCTCACACAGGCAACATGCCCCTGCTTTTTTCATCAGGTAGATTATTTATTAAAAAAACTTTCATCAGGGTTTGTCACTGGGTTCCACCTTTTGACGGAAACTTCAGCCAGAAAATGGGAAGAGAGGTTCACCGAATGCTTATAATAGTAACGGTTACAATGAGAGGCCTGCTGGGCTTGCCACAAGGGTCCATAATTATGGAAACTTCGGTCAAAAACAGGCAAAAGAGGTTCAAACAATGATTTTTATAATAGTAAAGGTTGTAAAAGGCCTACTCACACAGGCAACAAACTTCTGCTTTATTCTATCAGATTAATTCAACACCTATTTTTAAAAATTAGTGTACCATCATTTACTGAACCTTCAGTCAAAAACAGGGAACAGAGGTTCACCCAATAACAATGATTATTATATCCCTGAAGGTTACGAGAGGCATGCTCACATAGGCAACATGCCCTGCTTTTTTCATCAGGTTAACTCAACATGTTAATTATAGCCGTTTTCAATATGTCTTTCCCAGAATGTTCCATCATTAACAAAACCGCTAGTATCAAACAGAGAAAAGGGGATCACCTAATAAAAATGGTTATTATATCACTGAAGGCTACGAGAGGCGTGCCCAAACCGGGGACACGCCTCCAATTTTTGATCCGTTACTTATTAATAGAACAGCCCTTCAAAAATCGCGTAGCCCAATGGAATCCACATAACAAACAAATAGTGATTAAAAGCAATAGAACAAACACGACTCCAACACGAATCACAAGCATACTGTGCATTAAAAGTGCAAAATGTTCCATTATTTACTGAACCTTGAGTCACGAACAAGACAGAGGTTCACCCAATAACAATGAGGACGCTGTCCCTGAAGTTAACGAAGGACATGCTCACAAAGGTAAAACAGGTCCCTGCTTTTTTCATCAGGATTTATTACCGTACATCCATAATTTAATTAATCAATTAAAGTATACAAGTATATGGAAAGCAAATAGTATGCGAGAAAAAGTTCAAATATTATAACTTTGAATGCAAAAAAAAAAAAAATTAATTCACGAATTCCAAAAAATAACTGAGCATGGTAACCAAAGTACCAGGATCCGGTACCTTGAAATGAACCCTAAGGTCGGCGCCTCTAGCCTTGCATGCTGCATATGAAAAACGACAAAAATGCCCAAATTGAGACCTTAAACGCCACCATTATAGAAGCGAACGAAATAAAAATCAACTATAGACTAATGGAACTTACACTTAGTGGGATTGTTTGGCTCCCTTGAGTACTTCACCTGTGAATGAAAAAAAATTTAAAGAGTGCTATAAGCTATATTTTTTATTAAAAGAGATCATGGATCTGATACACAGCGAATTTGACTAAACAGATGAACTGAGTAGAAGAAGAAAATAGTTCATACCATTGCGGCTTAATTCGGCACCTTCAAACAAGAAATGGCTCACCGCAAGACCAGAACGAGGGATCAAGGAGTTTTTATAGTAGGATTTAAAACCCTAGTATTGTGACAAGCAGCCATAGGGTATACGGTGGGAGCGATGAGGTCCAACATGTATTTCGGCCCACGTTCCATTCCATTCGAGCCATGCCGTAAAACTATAGTTTTGGGCCTATAATGTAATAATATAATATAAGATAATAATTATAAATAACAATAATTATTGACAATAAAAAAGAAATGATATAGTATAAAACAATTATTGGTTAAATAAAATATAAATATCTTCTTATAAATTTATTATCGGGTCGATTTATATAGATAAATTCAAGCTACATTTAAGATATTATACTGAGTTTGAAATTTGATGGACTTATCATAATTTTGTCCTCAAAAAATATATTAATAAATTAAGAAATAAATATGTATATCAGTAATAATTAGTCTCGACTTTTACGTCATCCAAAATTTTCGATATACTTAATACTATCTAACCATTTATTAGAAATTACCAAAAAATAAATATTTTTTTCAATAATGTATTTCATATGGATTTTTTACTTATTTCTCCTCAACATTTTAATGTTTATTTTCCTTCACAATATCTTGATAAATGTAATGTGAACAAATTTATGACATAATTCTTAAACAATTCTTCAATTTAACATGTAGTCAAATTTGTTTATAAAAAAAATTATTTCTCTTAATCTAATAATTTAATTGTCATATAATAATAGAAAGACAAAAAAAAAAAATAACTATTCAATTTGTTTGAAGTGTCTAATACTGAAGTAGTGAAATAAAAAGAACTCTTTTGGAATTACTCGGAACATGATTTGATGCATAAGTAATTTTGAGTTGTTACACATAAAGTTGCACTGCATTGCTTTTTTTTTATTGAGTAGTATTAGAAAAAACAATCATACACTTAGATTCTTAGGAAAAAATATTATAATTGCCCATATTATATTAGCTTATTTGTAAGGATTGTATTCAAAGTTATAAGAACATTATATTATAATTATATTTATTATCTTTTTTCATTAACTTATAATACAAGGCAAAATTTATTTTATTTCTTTTCTTTACATACTTTTATGGCAAAATTCATTTCATTTCTTTTCTTTACATAGTTTTATGGTACTAACAATCTTTTTCTCAACAATTATATATAACAACCTTTTTATAAATATATATATATATATATATATATATATATATATAAAGGATAATCAGAATAATATACAACATAAACAAAAATGAAACATGGTGTTATCTTGGATATTTAATTCTTTAACATTTTATATTATGGATAATGTTATTTTTTACGACTCATAAAGTATGAGAAATTCTTCAAAATCACTTCTTTTAAAGTCATGCATCAAGAAGGAGAAGGTTAGGGGAATTAGGGTTTCTAGTGGAGGAGAGTAATGACGTAGTAGTGCTGATGTGTCAAGGTTGATGATGTGGCAGCATGTGGGACAGTCTTTGTTGATGGTAAATCGTCACATGACACTATATTAGACAATCTAACTTAGGAGTGTAGGCGGGGTGAAAATAATGAATAGGAGTACAGGAGCAAAAGACTAATAATGTAGCCCATTTGCTGAAAAAAGAACTGTATATGTAAATTGGACATTTAAATTTCATCCTTTGAATTAATCAAACCTTAATTTCAATTGAATCAACAAACATTAGACTATCTAAAATAATTTATGCAATTAAAAATCACATTTTAAATCTCTTTAATTCTCAAACCCGATAAATCCAAATGTCATAAATCTTATTCAAATTAATCATTTAAACACAATTATTCCACTAAAAATTTGAAATTAAATCTAAAATAGGGGCATAAATGTGGACTCATCACACCCCCACACTTATCCTTTTGCACTTCTGGACAAAATTGATTAATTCCAAGACTTTGTTCTGGGTTATTTTATTTCATATTTGCATTTGGATCAAAAGAATGAATAGCCCCGGATACAGATCAATCATCTAGAAATCAAGTTGTCATGGAGATGCAAATGAAATCACTCTATTCTTCATGCATCAGGTAATTTTTTGAATTCACAAGAATATTAAATATGAAAGATATCACTCAAATCAAAATGTATATATTTCTCCCCAACTCTCTCAAGTATTTTTTTGGCTTGTATTTACACTCAAAATGCCCATGTAAGAAAACACCCTTGATATTTAGCAAAATTCTAATATTCTCATACTTTGGAAAAACTTGTAATTAATGATCATGAGAACTTTTTTAAAGGTTATAATAAGGCTAAAGCAAAGGTATGAAAGGTTTTTTTTTTTTGGAATTTCTTAGTTTTTGAAAAGGATATAAAAATATTAATGGAGCTTGATTAAAAAAAAATTTATTATTTGTTGCTCTTCTAAGGAAGTTTTTCTTTTTCCTTTATCTTTCTTCTTTTATTTTCTTTTTCTTCTTTATTTTTCAAAATTCTAACTTTTTATCATCTTTTTGCCATTTTTATTAAGGTTAAATATGTTTTTACTCCCTCAAGTATGAAGTATTTTTGGATTTCGTCAATCTCTCAAAGTTTGGTACACTTTGATCATTTACCTTTAAGAAACTATAAATTTTAGTCCTCCAAAAGTAACGGCGTTAAATTTTGGCTGACCTGGCTAACGGTGTGCCTCGTCACTTCTCCTTTTTTCCTGAAACTATCATCTTGGTTCCTGCTCCGTCTCTTTCTTCCACCCGTGACTCTAAACTACACACACGTCTCTTTCTCCAACTCTTCCAGCACTATGTTCCTCGCCCTTTCTGTCCCCACCATGCGTAGTGCTGAGAAGGCAGATCTCGTAGAGGAGCTCGGTGCCGGTCTCGAAGGCAGCGAGAAGTTCGGGGTAGGGAGTCGCAAACCCTCGCGGCGACTATGAAACGATTCTACTCTAACCGGAGATGCCGGCGGTTTCCTCGATGGTGGGAGGAGAGAAGCCTTCTCGGATGAGGGAGGATATGAGGGACGCGTACTAATACCAGAGGCCAAGGCGGTTGGCGAGGATGTCGATGTGGCCGATGTGGAGGTTGTCGTATTACGATGGGAGGGGTTCCGGCGGAGGGCGGTTTGCTTACCTGAAAATATTTTGGGTATTATGTATGCAGAGATTAGCACAATGAGGACTAATTCATACAATAATAGATTCAAAATCAAATGCTTGCAAGGTTTGTTATTTTGGGGGAAAAATTCTTCTAAAAAATGGCAAAGCCCAAAGAGAGCGTGAACTACATATATTAACCATGTGTCGATTATAGTGTAGCCTAAAAGAACAAACCATTTCCCTCCAACCTAGATCAAAATCCTCAATTGACTCAAGATTATAAAGTCTATAAAATTCAGCCTTCCACTCATCGTACCGTTCCCCTAGAAAATCATTAAACCAAGATGGAAACTTCGCTACTATCGTCCATATGCAAAAAGTGTGTTTTGTTGTAGACATTTCTCTGGATAGTGCTTCTTTGAGACATATATTTTGGTCTATTAATATAGTTTGTAGAGTCTTTCCATTCATGAACCTTGAGAAAGCCTTCTAAGAAAGTGATTTATAGAAAAGAAAAGAAAAAATAAAAACAAAAGAAATAAGCAATGTAAATTAAAAAGATGTGTAACTTCTCGTAAATTTAGATTCCACAAGTAAAAAGTGAATGAAATAAAAATAAAAAATAATGATGTTAACTTCATCACAGTATCTTTAGTGTCCAGGTAAACGACCTCACGGTTTCATCCCGTAAAAGTGTGCAGCCAAAAAAGCAAGGCATTCCATAATTATTTATTCCAACCCATATCCCTAGCGGCATGTCAAAAATAGTCCGTTGATGTGTCATATCAAACACCACTGCATCACTGAAGATAACGTACCATTGGATTGATAAAACATATGACCAAGCAATATTTTCCAATCGATTGTTTGCATCAAGTGTGTAGTCAAATTTAAAATAGGGTTTTTCTCCTTTTTATTGTTGAGAGAAATCGTACAACATAAGCTTCTGAAATTTGCTTGAATTTGGCTTCAGCATCCTTTTTATTGTTAGGGTTCTTATCAGGGTGTCACTTCATAGCAAGCCTTCGATAAGCTTTCCTAAGATCCTCATCGCTGACACTTTGATCTACCTGAAGAAGTTTGTAATAGTCCACTCCCATTTTCCAATTTGCCTTAGTTAGAAGAACACCGTGTGCGTAGTTTAGAGTCAGGGGTGGAAGAAAGAGACGAAGTAGGAAGCAAAGATGACATGTTTAGAAAAAGAAGAAGTGATGTGGCACACCATTAGCCAGCTCAGCCAAAATTTAACGTCGTTGCTTTTGGAGGACTAAAAATTATAGTTTCTTAAAGGTAAAGGATCAAAGTTTACCAAACTTTGGGAGAGAGACGAAATCCAAAAACGTCTCATACTTGAGGAACCAAAAACATATTTAACCCTTTTTATTATTTTGTGGTGAGGTACTCACC